GGCTTTGTGGGCCTGTAGTTCAATCATGTTTTTGTTTCCTTTGAATTCTTTATCAGTTACAAATTATTTCCTATCGTTCAATTATTTATTTGTTTTCTTTGAATTCCTTATCGGTTGCAGATTATTTGTCATTTTATTGATTAGCCTGCCCGTGCTCTGCCTCCTGTTTTTGTTTGGGTCTGCCTGGGCTCCTTGCCACTGGTTCTTGTTGCTGGGACGTGGGGAGGTTGCGTTCATTGAACGCCACCTTTCCTTGTTGATCTTGTTGATCATATTCTACAGCATGTTCACTTTTGTCGTTTTAGGCGTTCTGTAGGGATTCCGTTTTTCTCTATTTTATTATAATGTGAACAAGAATGTCGAACGACACATATACCCCCCTTTCTAGCCATTGACTCACATAATTGGTAATTTTATTACAGAAACTTGCCCAAAAATGGGTACATGGAAGTGTTCAATTATGGAAAAAGCAACGGAAATCATTTTGACATTTAAGGCCCATGTGACATTTACCTTTGACCTAATGACCCCTAAATCAAAGAGGTCATCTACTACTTATGACCAATAACTAGGTGAAATATGAAGACTTTGTGATGAATACTTTTCAAGATAATCAGCGGAAACCATTTTGACATTTAAGGCCCCTGTGACCATGACCTTTGACCTAGTGACCCCAAAATCAATAGGGTCATCTACTAGTTATGACCAATCACTATGTGAAATATGATGACTTTGTGATACATACTTTTCAAGATAATCAGCGGAAACCATTTTGACATTTTAAGGTCCCTGTGACCTTGACATTTGACTTAGTGACCTCAAAATCAATAGGGGTCATCTACTAGTGATGACCAATCACTATGTGAAATATGAAAACTTTGAGATACACACTTTTCAAGATAATCAGCGGAAACCATTTTGACATTTCAAGGTCCCTGTGACCTTGACCTTTGACCTAGTGACCTCAAAGTCAATAGAGGTCATCTACTAGTGATGACCAATCACTATGTGAAATATGAAGACTTTGTGATAATACTTTTCAAGATAATCAGCGGAAACCATTTTGACATTTTAAGGTCCCTGTGACCTTGACCTTTGACCTAGTGATCCCAAAATCAATAGAGTTCATCTACTAGTTATGACCAATCACTGTGTGAATTATGAAGACTTTGTGATACATACTTTTCAAGATAATCAGCGGAAACCATTTTGACATTTAAGGCCCCTGTGACCTTGACCTTTGACCAACTGACCCCAAAATCAATAGGGGTCATATATTAGTTATGACCAATCACTGTGTGAAATATGAAGACTTTGTGATACATACTTTTCAAGATAATCAGCGGAAACCATTTTGACATTTTAAGGTCCCTGTGACCTTGACATTTGACTTAGTGACCTCAAAATCAATAGGGGTCATATATTAGTTATGACCAATCACTGTGTGAAATATGAAGACTTTGTGATACATACTTTTCAAGATAATCAGCGGAAACCATTTTGATATTTAAGGTCCCTGTGACCTTTGACCTAGTGACCCCAAAATCAATAGAGGTCATCTACTAGTTATGACCAATCACTGTGTGAAATATGAAGACTTTGTGATAAATACTTTTCAAGATAATGAGCGGAAACCATGTGGTCTACCGACGGACAGTCCGACGGACCGACATTAGCAAAACAATATACCCCCTCTTCTTCGAAGGGGGGCATAATAAAACTTACAGACAGTAGTTTATAATTATTTAAAGAGTTTAGCATTCGGACTATCATAATCAGCACTTTACCCAACGGATTAATTTACAAAAAAAATCTTCGTTTTATATCTATCTTCTTCAACGTCATTTTCAGTCAGACTACAGAATCATTATAAAGAGGACAGATAATTTTCTCTGTGTAATTTGCCATCATTTCTTAGAATTAAACAGATGGTTCCGGTTACTAGATATAAAGAAGTACATGAAAATCATCTTTCCACTGCAGAGGGGTTCGTAAACAGTTTCAGTAACATACTCATATCCATTTAGGGAAGTAATAACAGTTCATGTCTCATCGTTTTTATTTTCAACAACTAACACAGTAACACATGATTTTATATAATTTTTACTTTCAAAGATTGCGCTTATAGCAAATGCAAGACTGGAAGTTTCAATTTGCTATAAGCTTGGGGCATCAGCTTCTCATTTTGGAGATTCATTGGAAACGATCATTTGCCGAAGTAATTTATCCTCCCATTGAACATCAGTTATTTTTGGCAGCTAAAATATAACATTTATTGTTGTTCTGAAGTCATATCGATTGTACATATTTAATTATAATCGGCAAATCCGGCTATAATTTTTAAACAAATTGAAGAATAGGTTTGTCAGACTGTAAGCAATTGATGTTGCCAGTGATAAAGTATGTACATTTCCGCACAAAATATCTTTATCAGTATATGTATCACATTTATATCAACATATTTACAGCTTGTCGATGCATTTATTTTTCAAATTCAAACAAGCTTGCGAGTCTTCTTAGAATCTGAGCTTTCAGAAACTTTGTGAGGAAGGTTATAATATCCCTGGTTGTAAATAAGAAGGAGACACTTGAATTTGTTTTGAAGAAGTGACCCTATTTACGGAACCTTGAAGTTAATCGATTCTTATTTTGGTCAGAGATACACCCTCTCACATTCTATGTATCAAGCTTTTCCTGCACGAAAATGCAAAACCACTTTGACTGCGTCATTATAGGCCAGTTGCAGGTATTTTCACAAGCATAAACTAGTTAGACAAATTTGCAAATTTGTCGATGGTTTTAAATGCCCACTATTTTTTGTTTCCTCTAAGAGGCTTGGAAGGAGAGCTATTATTCTTCCAAATTTTCCATAATCTTTCACTTTACGTTCGCTTAGCAGCTGAGTCTGCTCATTGAATACACTACGGTTATGTCAAAGAAAGTGAACGAAGGTGGAATTTTCGACCGATGCGCCGGAGAGGAGAACTCTATCATGTAACGAAGTTTGTTCTTGCCAACGTAGATTGTACAGAGATCGACACTTATCTAGGTTTGAATTTCAAATTGGTTTAGGCACTTTGATTTTAGTAACTTATTCATATAAATCCAATGTAACATGCATGATGAACATATTCTTCCGAAAGTGAAATGATGTTTACAATATATACAATATTTCTTTTTCATGAATAGCCTTCTGTCGATAAAATAGAGAAAAACAGAATCCCTAACGAAAGTCGAACACGCCAAAATTGAAAATGTTGCAGGCTTGGTTTGATTGAGCCTGTTCATGGACGGTACTAGAAAGTGCAAGTTACCGTCCACGCCCCCTAGCAATTCGATTGCAACTTGTTTATCTTATTCCGACATGATGGAAGGAGCACAATTATTATACACCTTTTCACGTATTGGACAGTGTCAAACGTCTTCAACTAAAACTGATATCAAAAAAGTTAAAATCTGCATCTGCAATAGTGCACATGTTAAAATGCAGGTTGCTATTGCGTAGAAAGGAAAGTCAAAAGTCACTATGAAAATCACTGGTTGAAAATAAATCTTACGGAATACAGAAAAGCGGAAACCCTAAAGAACACCAAAAACAACAAAATTAAAAATGTTGCAGGCTCGGTATTATCGAGCCTGTTCATGGTTGCCATGAAGGTCAATCGTTTATTTAATCGGATGTTACAAAAAGCCAATGGTTGCTATGGGAAGTCATTGGTTACTAAGTTAAGTCCCCTGTTGACAAGAACAGTTAATGGTTGCTTGGAAATTCCGGGAATGATATGGACAATAAATGTTTGCTATGGAAGTCCAATTGGTTCATATAAATCCATTGATTGCTTTGCATTAAATGGTTGTGAGAGTCATTGGTTATTAAGGATAGTTGCAGGTGGCTATGCGAGCCATTGGTTGCTATGAAAATTCGCTGGTTGCTTTGAAATTCAAAAGTTGCTATGGAAGTCATTGGTTAATTTGGAATGTCAAAGTTTGTTATGGCATTTACTAGTTGCTTAGACAGTTATACCCATGGTTTGGTCAATTTTGACCATATTATTCGTCTACTAGACAATATAAGAGCATATTGTCCTCAGGTGAGCTAAAATATGTACAATTATGCAAATAAATACTTTTTATGCCTTAATGTTTGTTTAATCAGTTAATGGATATTTGGTCTGGATATGTTTAACAAAGATCTTTTTGTACTGACACTTTAATTAAATAGGACAATGTGTGTCAATCAATACGTTGCCAAATATTTTTTGTATATGAATATATAACCATTTAAGCAACCAGTGTTTGTATTAACTTCAAGCTTAAACCTAAGGAATAGGAGCAATAATATTAAAAGCAAGAGGTAATCGTTTATATATTTCTCTCGAAAATAAACATTTTCATAAATAGTTTAATAACTTCTATTAAACATGATTTGATATTATGTTAATTTAACAGCAGTTTATTCTTAGTTAAAGGAAAAAAAAATGTTTGTGAATGAGTAACATTACAGAAAATAGACAAAAAATACGACTGAATAGAATGATATATTTGATTTCATAATTTTTCCTCAATTTGCATGTTTAAAACATTGTTTTCGTTTGGTTTCAACAAATTTACATATTTAAAGTACATACAATTCGTGTAATAGGCTATTCACATGTCTCTAACATTGAAAAGTATTGTAAACTGGTGTTACGGCTATTTGCTTACTCGTTTCACCGTTTTAAATAATGATTTTGTTCTAAGTTTCTGTCATTTATTAAAAAAAATTAAACAATGAATTTTATAATCTAGAACTCATAAGTAGTTTTTATGTCTTGTAATTGACACACACACACGCGCTTACAAACTAACACTCGCACGTTTGTGCACACGCACATCCATATGACTTGTTCATGAAATAAGTAACAACAAAAAATTAACATTAAAGAAAGTGAAATTAAATTTCAACATAATCTTAATTTCAGATTACTTTATGTTTCTGTATTGTGTCAAAATATTAACTGATGGCTGAGCAAAGTAGTGTTGTATGCCCGACTCTAACAGAAGAAGATGAAAAAAGTTTTACAAGTATATTAAAAGAGCGTGGAGTTACTGGTTTATATGAATATTCTCTTGGGAAATTAGATTCGTGGCTTAACGTTTCTCTAAACGTCGCAGTAACGGGAGGATCAGGGAAAGGAAAATCAACTCTCATCAATGCAATGCTCGATCTCAAAGATGACGATGAGGGGGCTGCTGTTTCAGATGAAACAACAAAGAAAAGAACAAAATATCAACACCCTGAAAACAAGAACATAGTATTTTGGGATTTACCTGGAGTCGGTACAAATAATTTCAAAAAAGAGGATTATTTAGATGAAGTGAAGCTGGATGAATATGATTTTTTCATTCTTGTGTCATCTGAACGCTTTTCAGAAAACGACGGTTGGCTAGCTGAAGAAATACGGAAGAGGAATAAACGGTTCTTCTTTGTGCGTACAAAAGTAGATAATGACATCGATGCAGAGAAGAGGAGTAGGAAAAAAAATCGCCGAACACCGGAAACAATCCTAGACTTGATACGATCGGACTGTAAGGAGTGTCTTAATAATCTCGGTTTTCCTGAAAGCCATGTTTTCTTGGTTGATAATTTGTCGCCATACCTGTTTGATTTTGATCGACTATCAAAACAACTAATTGAAGATGCACCAAAGAGGAAACGGGAGACACTTCTTTTCTCCATTAAAGGATATGCTTGTCAAGTCATAAATGAGAAAAGAAATACTCTTGAAAAGAGAATTCCAAAGCTGTCCTTGATATCTGCAGTAGCTGGAGCTGCTCCAATACCTGGTGTTGGTCTATGTGTTGATGTTGCCATAATAATTAAAGAAGTTAACTTTTACAGAGAACAGTTTGGATTGACTGATAATGATATTAAGAAGACTGCAGAGATTTTAAGATTTCAAGAGGAAGAATTGAAAAAAGAATTTGACATGGAAACCTTCCTGGAAAATTGCACAAAGAAAGGAATCATAGCTCTATGTCGGTATTTTGCTGTATCTTATTCTTCAGCGGAAATCGCCAAATATGCAATCCCTTTACTAGGTAGCATCATAAACGGAACGATATCGTATAGAACCACTTCATACTGCCTGACGACAATTCTTGACGACATCTACAAGGCCTCGGTGAAAGTTTCTGAAAAAATGAGTTCTGATATAGTAGAAACATCTATAAAATAAAGCGATATTGTCCCTAAAAAGATCAACAGTATTGACATAACTTGTGTTTAAAAAAAAAGAAAGTAAGGCAACAAGCTGTTTCTGAATTGATTGCGACTTAAAGCAATATACAGAAGAATTTAAGAAAATTACATTAAAATATACAAAAGAATATTTTGCTTTCATCTGTAACTAAAATATTGCTAACAGTGCAAATAGACGCGACTTTATTTGGACGGCACAAAAAAAAATCAAACAAACAAAATTCACAAAAAATTGACAGTTCAATTTTAGATTTTTAGTGTTAATTTTAAATAAGCCTGTTTGAAAAACGGGTCGTATTATAGTTTCTCCCCTTGCGGGCGGATGGCGTAAAGTTTTTTGTCAGAATCATATCTCCTACACGCATGGAAGAATTTTAATGAAAGTTCATAGAAATGTTCACCAGTATAAGAAGCAGTGCCATGCGCATGAACTAGGTCTTCAGGTCAAAGTCATTGGAAAACACTTGTCCGGACTAAAACTTCTTCATACATAGAGGGATTTCAATATAACTTGGCACAAATGTTCACCATTGTAAGGCGGGGTGTCGCTTGCAAAATTTAGGTCCCTGTGGCCAAGGTCAAGGTCATACATAGGGGTCAAATTTCAGATAAAAATATGAAAATTTGTATTCGGACCATTAGTAATTACTTATTGAGGGATTGAAACACAAATGGTCATTATCATAACTACTGGTGTGAAACATGTAATTTAGGTTTGATTCCGTTTCGTATCAAAAATACTGTGTGTTATTGTTTTATTCAGGTTAAGGGTATTGTTTGCTTTTATTGTTTTTACCTTAGGTCTAATGGTTCAAAAATATCTGCATTACCTTTTATTTAAAAGAAAATATTTCAATGTGAAAGAATTATTAATTGTTTTCATTTGTGGAAAACATTCTTATTTGAGATGGACTTATTTACACTTGCATTTTCATAGCGATACTTTTCTTAGAAGTTAGTTACTACATTAATAAGATTTATTCTGTCTAATTAAAGGAAATTTATATGAAATAACCTTCACTTTTTTATAAGACCATATTGTTAAACTTGTATACTCATGAACATTAAATATAACTTATTGAACTCGACTTATAAGAAAATAAACAAAACTTCGAGACAGTCTATATCAAAATTATCGTTTTTTTTTAGGATTTTGGTTTTTTATTATCGCTATTTAATAGTCCTTGTTGAACAATTATAAAATGTTTTAAGTTATACTTTTTTAACATGGATAGAAAATACAGAATATATCTATGCATTATGACTTCCTTTACTATTAAATGAGTTAATGTTTAGTTTATTATGCACATGTAATTTATGAAGATGTACATTAAAAGTGAATAATAAATTGATGATTATTATGAAAATACATGTGTAGCCGGTGCTAGGGGGGCGTGGACGGTAACTTGCACTTACAAGTACCGTCCATGAACAGGCTCAATCAAACCGAGCATGCAACATTTTCAATTTTGCCGTGTTGGGCTTTCTTTAGGGATTCTGTATTTATCTATTTTATGATCACATCCGTGTTATTAGTACCGTGTGGCGGCTGTAAAAAGTCTCGCCGATCATTTAATCAATGATGTTATATTTTCGATCCTTGAAGATCGTTCAGCACGACATTATTGTTGTGCTTGTGGTATTTTTAGTTTCAACTTTTAGGCATTTTCTAGTTGGGTGGTTCCAATATTCCTACTTGAATAATGTCGAATCACCCTTAGGATATGTTGCCTGCTTTTTAAATTTGTCTTTTGACGTCTTATCTGTGATACGCAGGCTTCATAACCTCTGATCCCCTTTCAAAATTCCATTTTATTTAGTTCCGCCCATTGTTTTCACGTTTAGGGCACACGCTTTTTATTACTTGGGGACCATACGCCGCTTTTCATGGAATGGCACGGAAGTGTCACATTGAAGGTTCCATGATAACCGCCGTATGAACACATCTGCGGATGTTTCTAAATTCAAATTTTTACTATTTCATGTTTAAATGTTGAATTCTGCTTAAGTCGTAGCTAGGGGGCGTGGACGGTAACTTGCACTTTCCAGTACCGTCCATGAACAGGCTCAATCAAACCGAGCCTGCAACATTTTCAATTTTGCCGTGTTGGACTTTCTTTAGGGATTCTGTATTTATCTATTTTATATTCTTTAAATGAAATTCCATATTAAATTGGCTACCTAGTCAAAATTCTGGAAACAAAGTGATCCCTCGGAAGCATTAATCACAACAAAATAACATAAGAATTGCAGACTCGGTTTGATTGAGTCTGTACATGAGGGATAATGAATAAGTGCAACATCCCTCACGCCCCCTAGCACCGGCTTGAGCGGTACTCAATTCTCAACACTTTATAGTGCTAGCATCAATGATCCCGAAGGACTAGAAAATATAACAACACTGAAGTGAAGTACGGGGCAACTTTTTACGGCTGCCACACAGCACTTGACACCTGCTGTTGTGAAGTACAAAATTCTGGAAACAAAGTGATCCCTCGGAAGCATTAATCAAGTCTTATCTTAAGTCATTTTTATGCCACCGCAGCATCTGCGATGCGGTGGCATATATCGATTCAACTGTGTGTTTGTGTGTTTGCTTGTGTGTTCTTTAGATTATATAGTGAAGCTAAAAAATCTTCTTGTGAAAACCACTAGTCCAATTTCAACCAAACTTGGCAGGATTGATCCTTGGGTGAAGGGCTTTCAAAGTTGTTCAAAGAATTTCATTTCATGCAGAAATCTGGTTGCCTTATGCCACCGCAGCATCTGCGATGCGGTGGCATATATCGATTCACCTCTGTGTTTGTGTGGTGTGTGTTTGTATGTGTGTTCTATAGATTATATAGTGAACCTAAAAAATCTTCTTGTGGAAAACCACTAGTCCAATTTCTACCAAACTTGGCAGGATTAATCCTTGGGTAAAGGGCTTTCAAAGTTGTTCAAAGAATTTCATTCCATGCAGAAATCTGGTTGCAATGGCAACCAAAAAGGAATTATAAGAATAAATTTAAAAAATCTTGTAAAGACCCAAAAGGCCTAGAGCTTAGATATTTTGCATAAGGCATTGTCTGGTAGACCTCTACCAAATAATAGCCCTGGGGTCAAAATCGGCCCCGCCCCGGGGGTCATTGATTTTCACTATATGTACATATAGTAAAAACTTAAAATACCTTCTTGACTGAAGGTACAAGGCTTAGAGGTTTGATATTTGGTATGTGTTATTATCTATAGGTATTATCTCTAGGTACTGTACCAAAGTTGTTGAAATTTTGCCTTTAGTTTTAAAATCAGACCCGCCCTGGGGGTCATAGGTTTTCCTTATATGTACGAGTTAAAAAAAAATTCTTCTAGCAATTGACAAATGCTAGAGGTTAGATATTTTGCATGAAACATTGTGTTGTACCTCTTCCAAGATTGTTCAAATTATAGCTCTAGGGTTAAAATTGGCCCCGCCCCGGGGGTCATTGATTTTCAATATGTACATATAGTAAAAAATCAAAAAAATCTTATTGTCTGAAGGTACAAGGCTTAGAGCTTTACTATTTGTTATATGATATCATCTATAGGTACTCTACCAAAGTTGTTCAAATTTTGCCTCTAGTGTCAAAATTAGCCTGTATATAGCTATAGCTATGTATATAGGAAAAACTTAAAAAATCATCTTCTGTAAATGGACAAAGGCTAGAGGTTAGATATTTTGCATAAAACATTGTGTAGTGAACCTCTAGCAAGATTGTTCAAATTATAGCCTTATAGCTTGAGTACCGCTCAAGCCGGTGCTAGGGGGCGTGAGGGATGTTGCACTTATTCATTATCCCTCATGTACAGACTCAATCAAACCGAGTCTGCAATTCTTATGTTATTTTGTTGTGATTAATGCTTCCGAGGGATCACTTTGTTTCCAGAATTTTATAGCCTCTTGTTGTTCTCGTCTACGGTAAGTATCTTCCCTTTGTCCCTGGTTTATATTTATTTTATTCCCCCCCTTCCCCGTGTCTCATGTCCCCTTCCCCTGTGCCTTTTGACATTGTGGGCCTTATATTAAATCATTTATTTGTTTTGTTTTATTTCCTTATAAGTTACTTATTATGTATTCTGATGTGGTGGTTTGCCTGCCCGTGCTCTGCCTTGTGCCCTGTCCTGTTTTTCTTTGGTGTCCTCCTGGGCTCATTGCCGCTTGCGCTTGTTGCTGGGTCGGGTGGGGGCTGCGTTCATTGAATGCCACCTTTCCTTGTCGATCTTGTCTATCATATTTTAGGGTTAAAATTGGCCCCACCCCCGGAGATCATTGATTTTTACTATGTACATATAGGAAAAAAATTAAAAAATCTTCTCGTCTGAAGGTACAAGGCTAAGAGCTTTGATATTTGGTATATAATATCATTTATGGGTCCTCTACTGAAGTTGTTTTAATTATGCCCCTTGTGTTAAAATTGCCTTGCCCCAGAGGCGATAGTTTTCCTTATATGCATAAAGTGAAAACTTGAAAAATCTTCTTCTCTGAATTGAAAAAGGCTAGAGGTTAAATATTTGGCATGAGACTTTGCAAAGTGAACCTCTACCAAGATTGTTCAAATTATAGCCCTGGGGACAAAATTGGCTCCCCCCAAGGGGTCATTGATTTTCATTATGTACATATAGTAAAAAAATAAAAAATCGTTTTGTCTGAAGGTACAATGTATAGAGCTTTGATGTTTGCTATATAATATCATCTATAGGTCCTCTACTAAAGTTGTTCAAATTTTTCCCCTAAAAATATGATATTAAACAAGATCAACAAGGAAAGGCGGCGTTCAGTATTTTTCGTTTACAAAATGTGAAAGAATTTTATATTGTAAAACTATTCAACAATAAAGACAAATGTAACGCCATAACAACAGTGTCAGCTGTATTTTTGCCACATTGAGTACACATGACAAAGCAATGCAAATTAATATGTCTGTCTCCGAATTACCACCCATAGCTAAGACGGTGTGT